ACTGTGACCTCATGTTGCTCAACAATATACTTGTAGGCGCAGGATTCCAATTTTTAAAATCGAAGTAAACTCATTCTTTAGCTCCATTTTCTGCAAATGTTCTGAAGGCCCCTCGTATCTTACACATCTTGCTACTGACATTTACAGACAGGCCTCATTCTTTTTTAACGACTGGCTGTACCGCCACATGGTTGTATTGAGACTTATTTCATTAATGCTTGTATGTTGTTTCAATAATGAAAACAGCTGAAAAGATGAAGCAACTTTTAGCACTTCTGCAACTGTATTTGTGGAATAAATTTCTGAAAGCAGAATAAGTACATAGTTTGTTAGGGATGGCCTAAATATTTTCCAAATAGCTTTTAAAACACTTTTATTAACGATTACTGTACATATTTGCTATAGCATGACAAGTCCATATCAATACACCTTTCCAATGTGTACCGGTCGAAACAGAGTCACCATTTCCCTTTCTCTGACGTCCTTTAATGACTGGAGGCTTGGAGCTCCCTCCTTCTGTTTGTCCATATACTATTTACTAGGTTGCTATGAACTACAGCCTCCCTTCCTTTCCCAGGCACATGAGCAGGCACTAGATGGGAAGCAGAGCAGCCAGGACCTGAACCAGTGCTCTAATAGGGGAGGCTGGCGTTGTAGGCGGCTGCTTAGCCCGCTCTACCACAACACTGGCCCAAGTTTTATGTGTTAAATGCTGAAACTTCAGCATTTTCTTGTGTGGATGATTTTTGAGAGGAAGACACTATTATTTGTCAGTTCTGGATGACTCAAGGCCATCGTGTTGCAAACAGCGGCAGCTCTGCAGCACCGTGGTCTACAGCCACTCTGGATACCACCGACGCTGGCTGGGCTCTCTTGGCACAAGGGATGTGGCGCTTGTCTGGGCAGGCAAGCTCCTCTCTTGCTGAGCGTTTGTAGCTGGGAAGAGGCAGGGACTCAGAGGGTCCACCAAGCCTCTCAAAGAACAGAGATGTTTCTTCCGACTCAGAGGCTTTCCCCACAACTCCCTCAGCCACCAACGATTTCACATCCCCAGGGACTGAAGACCATCAATGATGTGTGCTCAGCAAATGCTTATTACAAATAAGCCATGTGTATCGTGGTTTACGGCACACTGCATTTTCTCTATATATGCTAGTTCAGGAAGGAGTGAGAAGAGAAGGAGACAGACAACAGCCAAACCATACATCCAGGAACATTCAATGAGGCCATGCCAAATCGAGTGCTGGCAGTATCCAAGACTAACGGGAGAAATACAGTTTTTCAAGATTATACATTTTCCTAGTCTCACAATGAAATGTGTATTTTGTTTATGTGTGGTTATTCCTTCACATAAATAAAGAGCTTCAAAGTTTATTTTAGCATATAATTCCAAAAGGGAAAATATTGAATAAATTATGGTTGACAAACACTGGTATTTTTTAAAAAGAATTTTTAAAAAAGAATCAAGAAATTAGGAAATAATAGTTAGGAAAGGAGACTATTTAAATAGAGTCTCTTTACAGCCTTTTAACAGGTTGCAGAGTTATTAGAATTTTGTTATCTCCTCGGGTGCTTGTTGTAACTTTGGATCATTCTGATACTAATGAATGTTCCTCCATACTTATTCTGAGATTGAAATCTCTTTTTCATGTTCTTTTCACAAAGGACATTTCCTTCCTCCCCTCCTTTCTTTTTTTCTTCCTCTCCTCCCTCCTGATTATTTACTAGAAAGGCAGAGTGACAGAAAGTGAGAGGGAAAAACACAGAGAGATCTTCTATTTACTGGTTCACTCTCCAAATGGTCAGGCCAGGGCTGGGCTAGGCGAGGCCAGGAGCCTGGAACTCCATCCAGGTCTCCCACATGGGTGGCAGGGAGCTGTAATAGAAGATGAACAGTCAGAACTCTAAATGGTGCTCTGATATGGGATGCCAGTGTCGCATGCAGGGACTTAACCACAATGCTGCCCCCGTCAGTTTCTTATAAATCCTTTTAAGATACGCCTTAACAACATATCATCATTCAGCTTCCACCAACGTCCAGGAAACCTGACGAGAATATTTTGTGTGTGTTTGTGTGTGATGTCTTCTTTGTTGGACAACAGATGAATGAGGCATGGCCCTGGCTCTGGAGCTGACTGCGGGAAGGAGATCTGGGTCATTAACCAATGACAATGCTAAGTGCAGTCAACACAGCGACCAGCACAGGTTCTTGTTCAGTGGTGGCCGAGCAAGTGTTGAGGGTGGCTTTGAACAGTTCCGTGTTGTCCCCCGAGAGCCAGTCCTTTGTGCCTGAGCACAGCCCAGGGCAGCTCCAGCCCTCAAGGGATTCTTGCCTTTAAGGGGAAGGCACAGTTGCCCTCCCTGGTGTCAGGCAATCATTCATTCCTGCTACAACCTGAATGTGCCCCTTATTGCTTTCTTTCAATAAAATTTGAAACAAACTTTCAATATAAAATTTGAAATAAGCTTTCAATAAACTACTTACAATGTGAAATTGTATTTCCCAGGTTTTTCCATCTCCATGCTCCATCCAAACTCCAGCTCTTCAACAACAATAGCCTAACACTCTAGTGGGTTGTGGCTGATATTCCCTCCCCCATCCAGCTCTTCTGCTTACACTGGGTCTGGGTCATGAGGCTGATAGTCAACAAAAGAGAAGGGTTGGGGCTGGCGCTGTGGCTCAGAGGGTTAAGCTACTGCCTGGGATGACACCAGCATCCTACATGGGTGCTGGTTCTAGTCTCAGCTGCTCCACTTCTGATCCAGCTCCCTGCTATGGCCTGAGAAGGTAGCAGAGGATGATCCAAGTATTTGGGCCCCTGTACCCACATGGGAAACCCCAAGGAAGCTCCTGGCCTCAGATCAGCCCAACTCCAGCTACTGCTGCCATTTGGGGAGTGAACCAATGGATGGAAGATATTCTTTCTCTCTCTCTGTAATTCTGCCTTTCAATTAAATAAATATTTAAAAGGAGAGGGAGGGAGAGAAGAGTCTGAGATTGGAGAACATGATGTCCCCACTCGACACTGGAAGATCACATCCTGTATGGGTATTTGGTAGAATTCAGAATATACTTGGAGAACTCAACTGGCGCCTGATGCAACACCACATTGAAAGTAGTTGATACATTGACTCACCCAAAGCACACTGCTCCATGAGTTTCAGACACCCAGGCAGAGGAGCATAAAGAAGATTCAGGTTTAAGAATCACAGATCTAAGACCGTGTGCAGCGCTGTCTGCAAGGCCAGCATCCCATATGAATGCAGGTTCAAGTCCCAGCTGCTGCGCTTCTGCTCTAGCTCCCTGTTAATGCTCATGGGAAGCAGCAGCAGATGCCACAAGTACTTGGGCCCCTGCCACCCATGTAGGAGACCAGAGGGGAGTTCTAGGCTCCTGGTTTGGCCCAGCCCCAGCTGCTATGGTCATCTGGGGAGTGAACCAGCACGTGTAAGCTCTCTCTGTTTCTGTCTTTTCCTCTCTTTGTAACTCCACGTTTCAAATAGATACATAAATCTTTAACAAAAGGAATCAGTTGTTCTATTTCAGTCACTAACGGCTACCTAGAATGCAGTTACTTCTCACTCTTTCCTGTGTACATGCGAGAGTATGTACATGAACTTCAAAAACTTCATGGAAAACGGCATTAGAAGAGCTCATTTGGCTGAAAAACTTTTGAAATCTATGCACAGTTTTTTTCAAACTATGCATTTCCCATGATTTTTTTTTTTTAAAGATTTATTTAGGGGCCCGTGCTGTGGCACAGCAGGTTAAAGCCCTGGCCTGAAGCACCAGCATTCCATATAGGTGCTGGTTCTAGTACCAGCTGCTCCACTTCCGAACCAGCTCTCTGCTATGGCCTGGGAAGGCAGTAGAAGATGACACAAGTCCTTGTTCCTCTGCACCTTCATGGGAGACCCGAAAGAAGCTCCTGGTTCCTGGCTTCAGATCGGCTCAGCTCCGGCCGTTGTGGCCATCTAGGGAGTGAACCAGCGGATGGAAGACCTCTCTGTTTCTACCTCTGTAACTCTGTCTTTCAGACAAATAAAATAAATCTTTTAAAAAAGATTTATATATTTATTTAAAAGGCAGGGTTTATAGAGAGAAGCAGAGAGAGGGGAGAGATGTTCCATCTGCTGGTTCACTCCCCAAATAACCACAATGGCTGGAGTCTGAAGCCAGGAGCTTCTTCTGGGACTCCCACATGGGAGGAGGGACCCAAGCACTTGGGTCATCTTCTGCTGTTTTCCTGGGCGCATTAACAGGGAGCTGGATCAGAAGAGGAGCAGCCGAGACTGGAACCGGCACCCACATAAGATGTGGGCATCACAGGTTGAGGCTTTGCCTACTACCTCACAGCACCAGCACTAGCCCTATTTCTTTTCTTTTCTTTTTTTTTTTATTTTATTTATTTGAAAGACATGAGTGAGAGAGAGAGAGAAGTTTTCCATCTGCTGTTCACTTCCCAAATTCCTACAATGGTTAGCACAGAGCTGATTAGAAACCAGGAGCTAGGAGCTTCTTCTAGGTCTCCCACTTGAGTGCAGGGGCCCAAGGCCTTGGGCCATCTTCTACTGCTTTCCCAGGCCATAGCAGGGAGCTAGATCGGAAGTGGAGCAGTGGGGACTCGAACCAGCTCCCATATGGGATGCCAGTGCTGCAGGCCAGGGCTATAACCCACTGTATCACACAGTGCCAGCCCTGCCCCCATGATTGGTTTTTAAGTCCCTTTGTATACACCTTTCAGCCTCGTAAGTATATTCCATCCACAGACTGCTACACAATTCACACAGACACTAACCCCCCGCCCCCGGTAAGTCTTAACTAATTCTTTCACTCTTTGAACACAGGAAATCCAGAGATCCATTAATATGCTCCAAGCAACTCTAAGCTTCGTACCTAAAGACCCAGTAAAGAAAAGAAAAAAAAAAAAGAAAAGAAAACTGGAAATCCTTGTTGACTATGCAGCGAAACAAAAGCAACAAACAAATGGTTCACAAACCTGAGCAGAAGGTAGAGGCAAAGTTCTGGAGGGCGGAGTCCACCTCTTCCACGCTGGCCAGCGCCAGGAGCCGGGGCAGGAGGCCCTCCAGGGACTGCACGAAGAGCCTGGCGCTGTGCTGGTCGGCCTCCTGAGTCTTGAGCAGTTTCAGCGACAGGGCGGCGGTGCGCAGGGCGCGGGGGCCAAGGCAGTCCCGGGGGGTCTGCTCCTCGTCGGCCAGCGAGCAGTTGTCCGACCCGATGTCCGACACGTCCGACCTGCCCGAGTCCTTCTCGGCCGCCATGGAGTACTGATCACAGGAATCGAATTCCGTCCTGGAAAGGTCTTGCTCGTCTACGCTGAAGTTGCTCTCGCTGTACCTGGATCCGTAGGACCTGGTCCTGCAGTCCACCGACAGGAAGTTGGTGATGTCCGGGTAGGCCACCGTGTGGCTGCGCTGGACCACATCCGGCTGGTCCACTGCTTCTAGTTCCGACACTTTGCTCAGCGTTTCCTTGCCCTCCTGGATGGCGGGCGACTTGAGGCTGCTCTTGTGGTGCTCCAGGTGGTCCTCGGGTGTGGTCTGACCCAGCTCCCCCTCCAAGGTGGTCTGGCCCGTGTCCGTGGTGACGCTGATGCTGATGTCAGGGCTCCTTTCGGTCCCCGCCTCCCAAGGCGTGTGTTCCGAGGACAGCACACGCCGCTGCCAGCGGAAGTCGGCCTCGTTGATCTCCATGGAGTCTCGGCTGGACTCCGCTCCATCTTTCAGCTCCTCCAGGCGCAGGAGCAGCAGCTGCACCTGCGCGTCGCTCAGGCCCTTGCCCCGGCTGAGCTCGTCCAGGGCTCCGAGCAAGGTGCAGACACAGGACACAGCGGCGTAGCAGGCTTCGATGCCGCCCTTGATGCACGCTTCGGTCATGCCGTCCATGATGCTAAACAGCGTTGGAAAGAGAAACATGGCACCCACACGTGAAACAGAAAAGAAAAAAAAAAAAAAGCTCCGAAATGCGCAAGAATGGTTAGCCTGCAGAACTGAATGGCATTCAACTCAGATCATCTTATTTGTATAAAGATTAAACAGTTTAAGTGATAAATAATCGAATAGCACGCTGGGGCTAGCAGTGGAAAACCTCTGTATAAGGCAGTCTGTCTGGGATCACGTTCCTTCTTGGCTAAGATGGTTTATCTGGGAGCAAACCAAGACTCCCCATGGGAACATATGATCTTCCCACCAGCAGGCACTGAGCAAGCTTGCTTTTGTAGGAAGCTCAGTTTTTTTTTCAAACAGAAAAGTAGTTTCAAGGCTACATGGTCCATGTGGACCATTTTCCTCTATAAAATACACAGATCCCTGAACAGACACAGATGCACGGCCATGCCACTATTTCAAATCATGTAACATTCAGTGTTCTCAGGTGGGCTGCCTGCAAAGGAATTCTATGGCTATGGTGTGATAAACCAAAAAGATCTCCCAGAAAAATGATCCTCCTGAATTTTGGACAGCTCATCATGTACATGCAAGGTTATAGGATTATAATAAATTGAGATAAGTCTCATATGCCTTGTGGGCAAATCATTAACTGTACACTTCATTTAAAGTAGATTCATGGGCGTTTTAGGACTTTGGAAACAAGATGGAAGGTATTTGGAGCATCTGTGTTCACTAGAAGCATCGACCTAAAGGGAGAACGGATCATACAGTTTCAGAAGGTCCAGGTGAGACTTCCTTTTGGAAATCGATCTTTTTCTGGGTTCTGGTTCAGTAGAGCTGGGTCCTGCCAAGTCACAGAGACGCTGGGGGCTCCCAAGTATCTTCAGAAAGGCGGGAAACAACAGAGAAGGGAATGTCATTAAAAAGTGCAAAGTTTTAAAGTTGTGAGAAGAAATAAACATGTACTTTCTTTACTGAGTGATAGACCATAACGTGAAACACAATTGCAGGATTATCCCTTATTCAAAATGTTTAGAATCAGAAGTGGTTCAGATTTTGGAGTTTTGCAGATTACAGAACTTAGATCTACAATGAGTTATCTTGGGGACAGGACCCACTTCTCAATACAAAATTCATTCATGTTTCAGATACACCTCATACAATTGTATAGGATATTTTAAATAATTTTATGCACAAAGCAAAACTTGAGTAGATCAGACTATCAGACTTGGGGCAAAACGTCAGTGCTCAGCAGCCAGGATTGAAATTGGATTTGGATTTTGGAGCATTGTGGAATTTTGGGCTAGGAAATCTGAACCTATATTTGGAAAATAGAATTGATTTAGGTATTCCTCTTGATATAAAGCACATACTGGACTCCAGACTGTCTAGTTCAGGGCTGGTTTAGACAACGAAAATTCTCTAAGGCATCATTTCAAAACGTTTATAGCACAAGACTAGAAAGCAGTTGCAATTTTTTTTTTTTTTGGTCAGATTGGCTTCTGATAAATTTTCCTGGGTAGCTTCATAAGCTGGGTTAGGAAATATTCCCTCTTTAAATTTTTTGGAAAATTTCATGGAACATTAGAATATTTGTTCTGATTCCTAATATAACTTGTATCTAAAGCCATATGGGGCAAGTATTATTTTTTGAGGGGAAGATTTAAGCTACTGATTCAATTTCTAAAAACAATTATGAGATTATTTTGGCTTTCAATTTCTCCTTGATTTAATTTTTATTATTTTTTAAAAGTTTTTTTTTAACTTTTATTTAATGAATATACACAGAAACATAAAGTGAAAAATAATAGATGATTTTTTTAAATGATGATGAAATCAGATCAGACCTATTGTCATGTTTAATCCCAGTGAGAGTCAAGTTGGGAGTTGATAATTTCTTTTTTTTTTTTTTTTTTACAGAGGATCAGTTTAGTATACATTAAGTAAAGATTTCAACAGTTTGCACCCCCATAGAAACACAAAGTGAAATATATTGTTTGAGTACTCGTTATAGCATTAAATCTCAATACACAGCACATTAAGGACAGAGATCCTACATGAGGAGTAAGTGCACACTGACTCCTGTTGTTGACTTTACCAATTGACACTCCTGTCTATGGCATCAGTAGTCTCCCTATGCTCCAGTCATGAGTTTCCAAGGCTATGGAAGCCCTCTGAGTTCTCCGACTCTTATCTTGTTTAGACAAGGTCATAGTCAAAGTGGAGGTTCTCTCCTCCCTTCAGAGAAAGGTACCTCCTTCTTTGATGACCTGTTCTTTCCACTGGGATCTCACTCGCAGAGATCTTTTGCCAGAGTGTCTTGGCTTTCCATGCCTGAAATACTCTCATGGGCTTTTCAGCCAGATCCGAATGCCTTTAGGGCTGATTCTGAGGCCAGAGTGCTATTTAGGACATCTGCCATTCTATGAGTCTGCTGAGTATCTCACTTCCCATGTTGGATCACTCTCCCCTTTATTTATTCCATCGGTTAGTGTTAGCAGGTACTAGACTTGTTTATGTGCTCCCTTTGACTCTTAGTCCTTTCATTATGATCAATTGTGAACTGAAATTGATCACTTGGAATAGTGAGATGGCATTGGTACATGCCACCTTGATGGGATTGAATTGGAATCCCCTGGTATGTTTCTAACTCTACCATTTGGGGCAAGTCAGCTTGAGCATGTCCCAAATTATACATCTCTTCCCTCTCTTATTCCCACTCTTATGTTTAACAGGGATCACATTTCAGTTAATTTTCAACACTTAAGAATAACTGTGTATTAATTACAGAATTAAACCAGTCATATTAAGTAGAACAGACAAAAAAAACTACTAAGAGGGATAATGTATTAAGTTGTTCATTAACAGTCAGGGCTATGCTGATCAAGTCACCATTTCCCATAGTGTCCATTTCACTTCAGGAGGTTTCCGTTTTGGTGTTCAGTCAGTTGTCACCGATCAGGGAGAACATATGGTATTTGTCCCTTTGGGACTGGCTTATTTCACTCAGCATGATGTGTTCCAGATTCCTCCATTTTGCTGCAAATGACTGGATTTCGTTGTTTCTTACTGCGGTATAGTATTCTAAAGAGTACATATCCCATAATTTCTTTATCCAGTCTACCGTTGATGGGCATTTAGGTCGGTTCCAGGTCTTAGCTATTGTAAATTGAGCTGCAATAAACATTAGGGTGCAGACCGCTTTTTTGTTTGCCAATTTAAATTCCTTTGGGTAAATTCCAAGGAGTGGGATGGCTGGGTCGAATATTTATTTGGAAGGCAGAGTTAGAGAGAGAGAGAGAGAAAAGGGGATAGTCAGAGTGAGAGAATGTGAGAGAGAGATGTCAATTTTCCATCTGCTGGTTCATTCCCTAGATGGATGGAAAAGCCAGGGATGGATCAGGTCAAATCAAGGAGCCAGGAGCTTCATCTGGATCTCCCACATGGGTGCAGGGGCCCAAGCACTTGGGCCATCCTCCGAGCATTAGACTTGGAAGTTCAGCAGCCAGGATTGAAACTGGCACACCTACAGGATGCCAGCGCTACAGGCCATGGCTTAACCTGCTGTGCCACAGCACTTGTCCCTGATCCAATTTTGAAAAGTTGTATTATTTGGGGGGTTAGCATTAAGAGGGTACATGGTTAAGATGTTTCTTGGGCTGCTCACATCTCATGTCAGAGTGCCTGGGTTCAAGTCCCAGTTCTGCTCCCGATTCCAGCTTTCTGCTAAGACACAGCTTGGGAAGCTGGTAGTTGGGTCCCTGCAACTGCTACTGGATTGGTTTCCTGGTTGTTTGGTATCTGGAGAGTGAATCAGTAGATGCAGCCTCTCTCTTCCCTATAAATTAATCCTCTTTATCTTAATTGCCTTAAGACCCTATTTTATTTCTTTAATGTCTAACATTTGTAGTTGGGAGCATTTCTTATTTTTGCCTTCTTATTTTTACCTGATCTGGAATTTAGTGCCATTGACAGAAGTTTTTCCATTTTCTGAGTCTCTGAAAAATCTTAACACATCGTGCTTTACTTGCTCCCCTACTGCGTTTGCATTTTATTGTACCTTTTACCTTTATATTTTTTTCTCCTCTCTACTTCTTTGAATTTTTGCTGCTCCATTTTTCCCCCAAGTTGGATAATTAGGATGTTAATTTTAGGCTTTTTACTTTTTAATATAAGCAGTTAAAGGTATAAGTATCCTTCTAGGCACTACTTTAGCTACTTTCCCCTAAGTTTTCATGTATAGAGTTTTCATAATTGTTCCATTCTGATTTATATTTCAATATGGTAGAAGTCTTTACAGAAAATTTTAATTTGAGGTTGAATTAATTCAAGGACAGAATGGCTAATGAAGTGTATGTGGAACACACATCCTGTCGCTATGACCATTCTTTCTTTTTTTATGATTTATTTTATTCAAAAGTTACAGAGAGGCAGAGAGAGAGAGAGAGAGCGAGTGAGTGAGCATCAGAGAGGTCCTCTGCCCCCTGGTTTACTCCCCAAATGGCCACAACAGCATGAGTGGGCCAAGCCAAAGCCAGGAGCCCAGAGCTTCTTCCTGGTCTCCCACATGGGTGCAGGGGCCCAAGCACTGTGTCATCTTCCGCTGCTTTCCCAGGCACGCTAGCAGGGAGCTGGATCAGAAGTGGAGCAGCCAGACTCAAAGCAACACCTGTGGACACTGCAGGCTTTACCCTCTAATGCCACAGGGCCAGTACCACATGCACATTCATTTTCAAAGTAATTTATACTCCAAGCAAAGCAGGAAAAGGTCTAAGTAAAAAGCTGCTAAGGACTCTCTATATTTTTCTTCGGCCATGGAAATTAGAAGTCTGTGCCATCCTGGGAACACAGAAATGGAGCTTCCACTTTTCTCTCCATGTTTCATTCCTTTGATATCAAAAGTGAAACGATGTGGGGGCTAACATTGATCAGGTTCACAATTCTCTCTCTCTCTCCTCTTCCCTCCCCTGCTCTCTGTCTCTCCAGGCATTCCTCCAATTAGCCACACTTAGGAGCCTCTTGCTGCCCCACCTCTTGCTGGAAGGCAAATGCATTTAGGTCCAGTCAAGACAATAGGTGAAGAACAGACAGGCAGGAGAGACAGAGACCTGGCAGAACAGCACCTGGATGTAATACTCTCCGCTTCCTGAGGGTGGCGATACGTGCCCCACATACATCTGCACTTCATGTTACTTCTGCAAACGTCACTGCATTTTGAACAACCCTGAATATTGAAATTTGAATACTCTAACACTGGACAGAGGAGAAAACTGTTCAGAATTCAGTGGACTAACCTACTGTGTGCTGCCCCCTATCTGTGGGTGCGTGACAGAGACAGGACACAAACTTTGCCCCTTGGACTTGGGCTCTGGAAGCCAGGAGCTCAATCAGTGCCAGGAAAGGGGCTCCCGGTCTTGCTCCCACTGCGGTAGGAGGGGCTGGTCCAGAAACAGGAGTGGGCCTAAGGTCAGGGACAAGGCTTTGCACCTGTGCCTTTTCCTCGGGACTTCGGGCCATCACCCGACCTCATCACACCTTAGTTATTTGCAGGCGGCAACTCCTTTCCCCTGGCTTCATGCTTCCGTAGGAGAGAAAACACCCCAGCAGAGTCAAGTTCTGGGTCTCTCTTCCATCCTCCTCTCACCTCTCCCCTGTGCAGGGGAAGGACTTAAGCTGGCTGCTCAGTTTGGGAAAAGGAGCTGAGCATCCCTGGCCAGCCTGGCCCCTCTCCTCTTCCTGGAGCTCTGTTTGGTGCAAGCCAGGCCGGCTCCTCCAGGCTACAGGTTTAACTGGGGTAGCGGCAGGTCCCTGGGGAAGGCCCACAGCCATCTGGGTGGTGACGAAGTCGCCTTGTATCTCATGGCTCAGCCATTTTTTCACTGACTCACAGGAGATCCGTTCTTAAAGCTGCCCTTTTGCCCAGCATTGCCTGAAGCTCTGCTGGGGAGAAGTAACATTTTTCATTGACAAAAAATATCAATTCACAGAGGTATGCATGTTAAAGATACTAGAGGTGAAATACCTGGTGTATAGTAGGCAGGTTTTTAAAATTGGGATTATGACCGTGTGCTTAGATTTCCTTAACCAGCAATTAAATCTGGGTGACTCCATTTCTAGAAATGTTGGGTCAGAATTTTCCATGATTCCATGCGGTCAAACCTCATTAAAACAACACCAAGAGGCAATTCAAACTTAGCTTCTTAGAAATTGGTTAGTAGTGGAGCAGGCATTGTGGCATGGAGGGTTAAGGGGCTGTCTGTGATGACAGAATCCCATAAGCGCCCTGGTTTAAGTCCTGCCTGCTCCACTTCTGATCCAGCTCCCTACTAGTGCTCCTGGGAAAGCAGCAAAAGAGGGGCCAAGTACTTGGGTCCCTGCACCCATGTGGGAGACTCAGAAGAAGCTCCTGGCTTGGCATTGACCCAGCACTGGCTGCTGTGGGCACTTGGGAGTGAACCAGTGGATGGTAGATCGATCGATCAATTGATCAATCTCTCTCTCTCTCTGTGTATATATCTCCCTCTCTCTGTAACCTTGCCTTTCAAATAAATAAATCATTAAAAAGAAAGAAATTGGTTGGTAGCAAATATTGTTTAAAGACAAATGAGTCATCAGCAAGAGAACTTTGTTACTCTGATTTAGCAGGGGGAGAGGCGGGGAGGGGTGACTAGGTCCCCAAAGGAAACAAATCTGACCTTCGAAGTTCACACATACAAAAATACCATCCCTTTTCTGTTGTAGCTTTTGAAAGAAAGCAGAGGCATCCTTGTTTGAATTAACCTCAAAATAACTGCAATTCTGCCTGCAACCCAAGAGTGGCACACAGAAACAGCTATCGCCAGAGGTTGACCTTGGTGTTCTTGTCGGGGTCATGACATTGGGGGGACAGGAGGCACAAATCCCTCTGGCAAAGGGGTCCCTTTTAGCAACCACAGATTAGTCAGGCTCTTTTTTTTGTTTGTTTAAGCTACAACCTGAGCATAAAATTCTTTTGAAATCCAGTTTGGGCCAAAGTGGAATACACAGCCATATCTGTACAAATAGAACCTACGGTGGCAGAAGGTCATCTCAGCCTGGGACCCAGGCAGGTGCACAGGCACGGAGCTCAAGAATCGCATGGGCCTGCATCAGTGATCATGGTCGACCCCTCCTGACTTGGCTCCCAACACACACACACACACACACACACACACACGATGACTCTAGCGATACCGGTAGTTTCTGAAAACCATGTGGGAACCAAGAAGTCCCAGCAAGCGATTGGCAAACATGCCCCTGAGACTTCCAGTGTGCAAGACGCTGTGCCTAGAGCCCCTGGCAAACCCTCTTTCCTACCTCCTTCATTACTTTGATGGCTTCCACGCGGTGCTGGGGAGGCGGGTAAAGCAGCACTCGGTGGTAGAGGGACTGCAACACGGGCTTCATGGAGTCCACCGACCCCACCAGCCGCACCAGCTCGGCTGCAAGGTAGTAGATGGTGCGAGCCACCGGCCCGCTGAGGGCGGGCGCGGTGCAGGAGCAGCCGGAGCCGCGACCCTGGTCAGAAACGCCCGCAGCGGCGGAGTCCGACTCCACGCTGGCACCCGCGCTGCTGCTGTGAGCAGACGTGATGGTCTTGTCGTGAATGGGATTCCCCAGGATGACGATGAGAGCAGGGCAGAGGTTCTTCCTGGAAAGACACAGCGGGGAAAGTCAGGCGGCAGAATGCAAAGGGCACCCTGAGGGGAACACAGGATGCTCTGGGAATGACCATGGAAATGACCCGAGAAGTTGGGCTCCTCCTTGCTCTGACTGTTGGCTGCGTTCTGCCCCATTTGCCTCTCTCGCCATTCTTCCTGGGTTTCTCAAGCTAGGGATGGCTAATTAAACTGCAAGAGCAGCATTAAGAAAACAGCTTAAGTGAAGGAATCATCTCAAAATGCTACATGGCTGCGAGAGGGTGTTTAGCCTGTGGCTGGGATGCCCACCTTCCACATCAGAGTGCCTGGGTTTGATACCCGACTCTGCCCTTGCTTTCAATTTCCTGCTCATGCAAACCCTGGGAGCCCGTGGTGATGCCTCCAGTGGTTTGATTCTTACCACTTGGGTAGGGGACATGGACTGCCTTCCCAGCTCTGGCATCAGCCTGACTCAGCAGAAGCTGTAGGGGGCAATTCTGTGAGTGAACCGGCAGATGGACATTGCTCTCCCTGTTTCTGTCTCTGATTCTCAAGAGAGCAAAATGCTAAGTGGCTTAAAGTTTTGTTTACATAAGTTACGCCATTATTTCTTATTTGACAAGTTAATTTCAAATTCTGTACTGACACTGCCAGTCAGCTTCCTCCCTGTCCACAAGCCCAGGGGGCCTGAACCTGGCAACCTGGGGCACCTGTCATCTAACTAAGTGACCAGCGCTCAGGCTGAGACAGAGAGCAGAGCAGGGTAGGGCTAACAGTGAGATTCAATCTCTCTCACCCCCTGCATATAATTCTGCCTCTATTTGTTCTTACAACCAGCAACACAGTAAGCCACCTCATTCTCATCTCTCATGAGCCTATGATGTCAGCAAAGTGAAATAAAGACTTGGAAGCAATTTTGTCATAATCATCGTCTGTTTCTCTCTGCATTTTGTTCTGATTCATGTAAACAAACCAATTTCCCTACTCTCTCTCCAAGACACGTATGCCCAGATGGAGCCACTGGTAGGACAAGGGACACCGTGGAGAGGGACCGAGAGGCACAGCCAGGAGGAGCCCTGGGGGTAGGGGGGCACCTCTGAGGTAGGGGTCTACTCACCAGATCAGGTCTGTGAAGCCCCTGTGCAGGTGCATGGCGGAGGAGGAGCTGCTGAGCACGGACAGGATGCACTCCAAGTACAGAAGCTGCAGCTGCTGACTCTCACTGCAGAACGCACACACAGGTTGGCAGACAGACAATGGGGGAATCAAAGGTGGTATGTGGGGAAATACTTAGAAGATGGTAGGCATTGCTATGCCAAACTTAGCAATTATTTAGCGTATATTTTTTTAAAAAAGCTTTATTTCTTTGAAAGGCAGACTGACTCAGAGGGACAAGAGGCAGAGAGATCTTCCATCCGTTGGTTCATTCCCCAAATGCCTGCAACAGCTCAGGCTTGGCCAGGCCAAGGTCAGGAGTCAGGAATTCCACCCAGGTCTCCCACAGGGGTAGCAGGAACCCAAGTACATGAGCCAGCATCGGCTGTCTCCCAGGGTGCATATTAGCAGGAAGCTTGTGTGGAAGCAGAGGCGGCACTTGACTCAGGCATCCCAAGTGACATCTTAATTGCTGTGCTGCCACACTTGCCCTTAAGCAAGCCCTCATTTTTTTTTTTGGGGGGGGGGAGATGGTTAGCATTATGGGTTAGATTGTACCATCCTAAAAATTCATAGATTAAGGTCCTAATCCCCAGGGTCCCAGAGTGTGACCTTTTGTTTGGAGTTACAGGTTTTACAGGGGTAATCAAGTTTAAATGACATCCCCAGTGTGGAGCCTGATTCAGTAAGACTGGTGCCCTTAATAAAATGGCACTTTGGATGTTGGTCCACAGAGAGGGAAGGCAACCAAAGAAACACAGGGGACTTCAAAAAGTTTACAGAAAATATACATTATGGATAAACTATGCATGGATCTCAATTTTTTTTTAACCAAAATAAACTTATAATTCCATTGCCCTCAAACTTTCTGAAGTAGCCTGCACAAGCCAAGGAGAGGGATTTGCAATGGATCTCATGGTCACAGAGCTCAGAGGGAAGCAACCTCACCAACACACCAAGCCTTGGCGGTGGACGGCTCCCCTCCAGAACTGTGAGGCGAGAACCTTCTGTTGTTTACGGCACTCCATTTAGGGGACTTTGTTAGGGCAGCCCTAGCAAACTAATTCAGTGGGGGAAAATTATTTGTTATTCAGAAACTTGTCATTTTAGAACAGCTTTCTGTAGATTTAACAGAGAAACTAATGGGGAAGAGTCACTCCATGAGATAATTTCAAAAAGTTCATAGAAAAATGGAATTAAGGGCTGGTGTTGTGGTGCAGCAGGTTAAGCCACCAGCTGTGATGCCTTTATCCCATGGAAATGCTGGTTTGAGCCCCAGTTGCTCCACTTCCAATCTGATTCCCTGCTAATGTACTAGGGAGCGGAGGAAAATGGCCCACGTACTTGAGTTCCTGCCACCCACACAGGAGACCCAGGCAGAGTTTCTGGCTCCTGACTTCAGCCTGACCCAACCCTGGTGGATACGGCCATTTGGAGAGTAAATTGAGTAATTAGCAGACAGACGATCCATCAGTCTTTCAAATAGAGGAACAAATCTTTTTCAAAAAGTGGAATTAAAAGATAAGTTTTGGTATATTTCTAAAAAAAAATCCATGCATAGATTTTTCATAATACACATTTTTCCATGAACTTTTGGAACAATTCTATTTTCTTTTGTTAGGATTTTATTTATTTGAGAGGTAGAGTTACAGATAGAAAGAGGAAAAGACAGAGAGAAAGACCTTCTATCTACTGGTTCATTCCCCAAATGGCCAATCTGAAGCTAGGAGCCAGGAGCTTCTTCTGGGCCTCCCATGCTGCTGCAGGGGCCCAAGCATTTGGGCCATCTTCCACTGCCTTCCCGGGCCACAGCAGAGAGCTGGATCAGAAGAGGAGCAGCCAGAACATGAACCGGTACCCATATGGGCTGTCAGCTCCACAGGCAGAGGCTTAACCCACTACACCACAGCACCTGTCTCTTAACCACACACATACATGGTTTGTCCTGTTAACATCTTACAGTACATTTGCTATAATTAATGAACAAATATTTGCACATTAACTAAAATCTATAGCTTATGCCAGAATGTTAATTTTTAACATGTCTAATAGTCTAAACCTTTCAAGAGGCCATTTACTACATTATCTTTTAACTGGTCAATAATTTACTAATATGTATTTGACTTTCCTTCTTTATTTGTTGAAGAAATGTGGTTCTTCACTGGACAAATTATTTTCCACAGTTCTTGTTTTGGAGTTCCTCAGTAGAGCCAGCAAAGAGAACAGACAAGGTTTTTCCTCAGCCCACCAGCAGGTATTACAATCCAGGTAGGTGGCAGAGAGACAGAAGGGCTGAGGAAGAAATTAATTTTCTAGGACACATTTACTATAAATATATCATAAACCTTCTAAAGATAATTCACTCAGCAATCTGGTATGGAATGGGATATTCAGAAAAAAGAGACACTTGGTGATAAAACTCATTTTTTAGGGGCCGGCATTGTGGCATAGCAGGTTAAACATCTGCCTGCAGTGCCAGAATCCCAAATGGGCACTGGTTTGAGATCTGGCTGCTCCACTTCTGATTTGGCTCTCTGTTAATATGTCTGAGAAAGCAACGGAAGATTGCCCAATAACTAGGGCCCTTGCATCCACTTGGAACCCGAATGAAGCTCCTGGCTCTGGGCTGACCCAGCCCAAGCTGTTATGGCCATTTGAGGAGTGAACCAGTGGATGGAAGATCCCTCTCTGTCTTGCTTCTTCTCTCTGTAACTTTCAAAAACAAACAAACAAACAAACAAACTTAAAAAGATTAAGATCTTTACATTGTTATAAAAAATCACTTTTAGTTGTGTCTTTTTTTCTTCAATTTAAAACAAATAAGTCCCAAAAGGAAGCCTCGTGTTCTTAGCAGCTCAAATAATTCCTAGGAGAAGGAGGCAGAAGAAAGGCAGGAGGGGCAAAGTATAAACTTGAGGAGATAGAAGGGAGAAAGGAAAATGTACTGTCAGACCACCCCACAGGCTGCAGCTGCCTCGCCGTGAAAAAACCTGGGGAATTGTCAGATGAAGGACAGTAAGACAGGGGCTGGGGAAGGTGATCCTCACCAGCACCAAGTTCAATACCCTAAAATTGACATTATGCCCTAAAACTGGTTGGCAAGGGATAGATCTAGGGCAAACCCCTGCCCATGGCCTCAGAACCAAAATAACTATTTTTATGTTTTTAGAAGGTTGTAAAAACAAACAGAAACAGATAGGAGACAGAGACACTGTTGAACAGCCCTTATCCAAAGCACTTGTGGCCAGGAGTGTTGCAGACTTTGGAGTTTTCCCGATTATGGAATATTCGTATAAGCTTTACCAGGTTAGCGTCCCAAATCTGACAATCCCAAGTCTCAGGTGCGCTCCAAAGTTTTGAAGCATGTCAGAGTTTGGATTTGCAGAGTGGGGATGTTCAGCTTATAGTACGTGGCCCTTTACAGGAAATGTGTGATGACTAATAATCTAAAGAGAGGTACTTTGTCCACAGTAGTGTACAATGGTCAAAATTTAACTGTCTTGAAAGAGGGATCCCACTTCTATCTTGATGTCATCTACTATATCATTTCAGGGTGGAGAAAGAGACAGGGTAGGGCTGAGTCTTCAAGAAACTTATCACTGTTTGCCAAGAGGTAGGTAATAGCTGGAGGAAGAATAAGAAAAGCAAGAACTAATCAGCTGTTTGGAGTTACGTGCAGACCTCATAATTCTAGGCTCCAACTCCTACAAGCTTCCTGTCTACGCTTCTGAACAAGATGTAGTTGCTGACCTCAAACAGCACATTCTATGTTCTTATGGGACTTGTCAGCAAGGAGATAGGAAATACTCAAAATGAGTAACTCAACACAAGAGACCATGCTATGTAAGTTAACCTGTGGGACCATATAGGACAGGCATCTCCTTAGGATCCAGAAAGAATTTCCCTAGGCAACGGAATCATAGTAGAGACTTGAAATTCAAGTCAGGGCCTGCTGCATAGAGGATTTGAGGATGGGAGTCCACAAAGCCTGGGGGCAGAGAAGGAAGAGTTTGGGCTGGGAGGTTTGTGGATGGAACGGAATGCAAAGATGACACCACCAGAAGGGGGCGCTGGAGAGCAGGAAGGGCCTGGAAGCCTGCTAATTCCGCTGGATTCTATTCTGCAAACACAGGCTTGACATGACCAGATTTGTATTTAAAACACTCATCTCATCAGGATGCTTTAGAATGAACAGATTGGGGAGGACAAACTGAAAGGACACACTATCATGGATAAATCACATTAAAAATCAGTTCTAGAAGGGCTGCTTTTGCTACCATGTCAGGTTACCCTTTCCGACTAACCACTGGACTCATTTTGAAAAAGAAAAATAATTAAATGTCCCAATACAAAAATTTCTTTCTCAAACTGTCAGTCTGGCATCATAACAGTAAAATAACCGTAAACAACAAAGACTCCATTTCTGAACTCACTGGAAGTAAGTCCAAAGGAAAGCTCCTAGCAATCTAGGTTCCTGTGAGAACCCCTAAAGTGTGCATGGCAAATACTACAACCCCAAAGCATGAGGCTCACTGACAGGGAACGCACTGCCAAGGTAGCTGGCCCCAGTCTCCTTGGTGACTGAATTCGGCAGATTTCCTGTGGGCTGTAGCAGTCTGGAAAACAGGTCCTCATGGCCTTGCATGAGTTATGCCATTGGAACAGCTGTTCAAAATGTCAGCGCCTTCCACTCCTGCCCCTCACTGGAGACACACCAGCAGGCGCACAGTGGGTATACGTTCAATACTTGTCCAGCTGTAAACAAACACTTGCGATGCATAGGGTAGAAAGAACCTAGACACCAGCCATCTCTAAAAACACACAGAGGGGAAAATCTGCCCACGTGGGAGGGCTGTGAGTCACTCTTCTTGGTCTTTTGTTTGAGCATTTCACGGTTGGCAGGTTGAGTATCTGCTGGTCACATCCTCTGCTCTTCCCTGTTTGTTCCCAAGTGGGTGACCCATAAAGAACAACCCTGGGAGGCGATCAGTGGGCCGTGAAGGCTCTGCGTCACCCATGCTGGCTGCATGGCCAGGAGCTCTGGAGTCCTTACAGATTCATTTTAAA